GGGGGTAGAAGTCCTACCTGGCAGAGAAGCAGAAGAGCGGATGGAGGTGTCCGGATGGGGATGAAGCCCCTGGCTGGAGCTCAGCTGGGGGTGAGAAGGGATCTGCAGGGTGAAGCTGTGCTCCGGCACCCCGGTGCTGCCCCGCGGGAGTCTCTTCACCTGCACAGAGGGATGTCTACTGATTGACAAAGACTGATTATGTAAGGCATTATAAGACAGTTGGCAAATAGATGCTGTACAGCAGTGGCTCTCGACTGGTTTTGCTTCAGTTCCCAGATAATTCAAGAACCCAGAATTAATGTAGTTTGATTGGACACAGCCTTTGACATCAAAAAAAAAAAGACATGGGAAGTGTTTCTCCTTCATTTTAAATACAGATAAGTGAATTTCCTTTGCTATCACTCCTTTGCACAACTATTCTTACTTGCATTTTATTTAATGTTGTTGTTGTTTCTTTAACTGTCTGGGACTGTCATGGTAAAATGTGTCAAACTGTCAAAGTAGCCAAAATATATTTTTTTAACAATCATGGGATTGTGAATGTGTACAATTTGTATGAACTTTTTGTGGAGTGCAGATCCCATAAGGATATATTAATTGGTTACACTCACTACACACAATATTTTCCAATTATATGAATGCATTAGATTGAGAAAAGCCTTTGCTCTGCTTTTTAATTTCATTAAGCGGTTGAGTTACAGGATCAATGCTTCTCCTCAAATGTATCTGGATGTGTTTAGTAAAGATGTGGTTTGTTTACAACCTGGCTCCAATTTCCAATTTTTTTGCTAGAGCCTTTACACTCTCTCACACACACTCACATATACAAAACAGGCACTATTCTCCAAAAACAGAGTCTTTTACAGAGTTCAGTTAGGGTAACTATAGTGGTTTATTAGCTTAAATCAATTACAACATAAAGTCAATAAAACTGGAATTAATAATAATAATAATAATAATAATAATAATTATTATTATTATATTATTTATAGTATGAATTATTAGACTGTTGAGTATCTTCATAAAAGTAAACCTTTAAAGATGTACCTGGAAGTAGAGGTTGCATAGCCAGTTGTCCAGGTCAGTGGAAAGCAGATGCTCAATTCTGCGGAACTGGTTGAGCGAGGGGTCCGGACTGCCACGCAAGAGAGGGGTCTTGAACTTGCCATTGAAGAGTTGGAGGGAGCAGTCGCAGACGGGAAATGCACCCCAGCCCACCACAGAACTCACATGACTGTGATCTCCAGGCAGAGATAACAGCTTGAACACTAACACACTGGATGGTAACAGATCACATGATGCAGGCAAGACCTGGAAGAGACAAAAAGGGAACAATACCTACAGTAAATCTAAATCTATCATTTAAAACAAATCCAGAAAAAAAGGGGACAAAGAGAGCTCAGGGTTAAAGTAAAAATGATTTATTAGCACATTTAACACAGAGAAGACCAAAGCGACTGATTAAAATAATTTGCATTACAAAAATTAAACACTACTCTGTTTGTTTAGCACAAAATGAAATCAAGGTATTGCAAATGCTAACGAATCTTTGATAGACAACTTTTAAATATATTACTAGACAGAGAGGATGCAAGCTTATTCTTTAAAAAATGAATAACTAAAAAAAAAATTTAAAAAAAGTTGAATAACTTCAATAAAACTATAGATTTAATGTAGTGTGGTCCCAAATTAGCTAGCCCCTAATGATTCAAATTTTGCAACCCTGTTACATTTAATCCTGCAAAACATTTAATCTAGTGTTTTATTGATGTTTAATTTGTATTTGTTATTATTATTATTATTATTATTATTATTGCTAGAATTCAGGTAAGAAAAATAAATTCAGGGAATGTGTTCCTATGTAACAGGTAAACAAAAATCATTAAAAATGATTAAAAAAAAGTCAAAAAATATTTTTTTGGACATACAACAGTTTTGGAAAGTTAAGCACCCTTCACTGATGCTATATATTCTTGTAATAGTCTAAAATAAAGCATCCTCTAATTTTCACTGTGGCACACAAAACACAGCTAACGGTTTTAACACTACTCGTTAGATAAAGTAAAACAGAAAAGGGGTGCAATGTAAAGAGAGTAAATTCTCTCTTACAAAATGGATATTTTGTGTCTAATTTCCCCGATTTCCTCTCTCTAGCTAAAGATGTAAATGTGTTTAATATGATCTAAAGTTTGAACCTAGATGATGAAACATCGGAATGTGATTATGGCTGCTTTCAGGAAGCCATCTCAGCAGGAGCGCCAGCGTGTGATGATCCCAGCATGACAGCCGTGACATCACTAGAACATATGTAAACCAGGCACATTTAAGGAAAAGTGTGGTATATCAGGAAAACGTGGAATGAGGAATAACATGCAGAGATCCTTATTTACCCATCAAGCAAGAGACAGACCTTTAAAAAATGAACTGACAAAAAGAAGTGCTTGACTTCATCAGTCACTCCAGGAATATTCTATCCCTCCATTAGGAGTAATGGAAAACGGAGAAGACTTGTTTTATCACATTCATCATGTGTTTCTCTTCTAATCGCTTTGTGCTCACACCTAAAAAAAATGGCACAGATTCCCTGCATCGGGCCTCAAATTTATGCCATAATCTCCTTCATTATACATATTGAATAATGTTTCAGACGCTTAATTCACTGAAAAATAAGCAAGAACGCTGCTGACTGTATCAATTGGCAAAGAAAAAGAGATTAAAAAAGGAAAGAGTGAAAACACAATGAAATGGCTGAAACATTGTGTTTTAGGCCTGTGTCAGTTCTCAGGTACAACTGCTACATGCTGGGAATCTATTAAAGCATCACAGAGATCAGATTTCATTCAAAACAGACCTGTGCTTACTGAGCAAACTCCACAAGAGAAAGAGGGGAAAAGAGAAAACGCAAATATGTGAAGGCAAAAATTGAAAAAAAAAAGTGCATTTAAGTGCATTTCCCTCATGGACTGCTGGTGTCATTCTGCTTTTTAACATTAAATGACTGTTTTGTCTTTAGATGGAAGCGCTATGAAACAACAGAATGAAGAGATTTGAAAATGAGACTGAGACTACAGATTGGCAAAGCAGCGAAAGATTCTTCTTATCTTCTGCTTCCTTGCCTGGACCATCACATCTTTCACATCCCACTTGAAGGAAAGACTCAAATCTGCAAGATGGATCAGACCAGAGCATCTCTACGCGCCAGCCACTCAAGAAAAACATGATGAGCTGTAGCTTTCCTCCTACTAACGTTAATTCCTCGTTTCCTCTGCGAAAGCTGTTGAGAAAAACAGACGAGGCGAGAGCGCACGGTAATGTGGGCAACTGCGAAAAGCAAATGAGCCAATTACAGACAAATCTGATGGAAATCTTCGAAACATAAACATCAACAGCAACAGGATTGGCTATAAATAAGAGCTGGTAGAGGATAGAGGAGACTGACACTAGACAATCTCAATGGAGCGCTAAACGATTGCCTGCCAAATAAGAGCCCACGGTTTTGGATGAGAGAGGAGGAGTATTCAGTTAAAGCGGCCCACTTTATTTCCTTTGTGTCAGACGCTTCTGTCTGCAGATATAGGCCTGACTACACAAGCGCATGCTAGATTAGGTGCTTTATTTATTGATCGTGATCACATTTTTAGGTTCTTTATTTACAGTGCTCGGAAGGCACTACTGAACAAACATTCTGGTGAGGGTTTGGTCTAAACTTCTGGAATTAATTCAGCCCAAACCACTTAACACAGACTCCATTCAAACTTAGTTTTGAAGATCATTTCCGTCTTAGGTGTGTACGGACAAAAAACTGATTTTGAGGATCAAGTCATAATATTGCAAGAAAAAAATTGCAATGTTTTGTGAATAATCTCACAATAGGCCTTTCACAAAATAAAGTTATGAGAATAAAGTAAGCTTACAAGATTAAAGTTATTTTGAGAATAAAGTTTTCGAGATTTTCAGATCCCATAATATCAGAGCTTCATTTTCGAAACATTATCACTTTATTCTTGTAAAAAGCCTGTTAGATTATTCTCTCTTTTTTAAAGTAACACTAAAACTCATTAATCAAAATCATCAATAAAAATGAATAAAGTCTCCCATTGACATATAGTGCATTGATCAACTTATAGGTCTTCTTTCATCTTCTTTCTTTACAGCTCTTCCTCATACACAGGCGACAGAAAACAAGATGTGCGCTAAACGCTAAAGCATCACTCCCATGAACTAACTTAATATTTAACACTAGTGCTCTGAACAGCATTGATAGTTCCTTAAAAGCATATCGTTATTTATTTTTTCTCAGTAGTTCTGAGTTCTGGAATTCTGGTTTCACAGCATCATTTTTGTACATCATTTTTATCCCAATAAACCGTCAGCTCTTGTATAATGAATTATAAATTTGATTTGCGTTCACACACTAAATGTCATGTTAGAAAAGCAGCTGTTTTATTCACAGTGACTGTCCCTCAAGTCAAACCTTGAGCTTTCAGCAGCAGTTTTTAATACAGTCTCTTTCCACTCCTATACACACACTCACTGTTTAATATCACATTTCATAAGCCTCATTCTGACTCTATATTCAATAGCTGAAGTGGAACCGCAGAGAGAAAAAATAGCATGGTTCTGTTCTGGAATTTAGTCCTGTCTGATAATTAGAGCCATTTCTGTCCCTCCATTCTACACAACTACCACTTTGATGCTTAAAAAGTTTATTAAGAGATCGTAACACGGTTTGCTTGGTCACTTCATATGATGAACAGCCTATATTTAAGCTTTTATTCACATATTTACATAACTGGTGTGTGTGTGCCTAAATTAAATCTGTTCATCATATAAAGCGATTGATTCATATGGTTTATGGATTAGTAGTCCATATGAATTCATATGGATTAGTATCAAAGTGGTTTTCATTTCATTTCACTGAATTTTCATTTTTGGGTGGACTATCCCTTTAAAAGTGAGTGTGAGTTTGTTTTCATAAAGCTTTTTGATGTATGCTTTGTGATACATAACAATATTGCAATAAAATATGCTCTTTCAAAAGTTTGGTGTTAGTAAGTTTTGTTTTTTTATTGATTGATTGAAGGATTTTTTTTATTGAAAGGACGCTATACATTGATCAAAACTGACAGACGTTTATAAGGTTAAAAAAAATGTATTTCAAATAAATGCTTGTGCTTTTGTCCTTTTTAACTTTCTATGTATTAAATAATCTTGAAAAAAATAAGTATCATGGTTTCTACAATAATTTTAAGCAGCACAACTGTTCGCACAACTGTTTTCAACATTGCTAATTATAAGAAGTGTTTCTTGAGCACCAATCAGTGTATAAGAATGATTTCTAAAGGATCATCTAACACTGAAGACCGGGGTAATGGCTGCTGAAAAAAATTTAGCTTTGCTATACTAAATATAAATTCTATTATATATAAGAAAACATTGTTTTAAATTAGAATAATATATCTTGGTGAGCTACAAAAAATACAGAACATCTTAATAAAATAACGGGGGGGGGGGAGAAATGCATTTTTTAAACCGGGAAAACAAATGTAAATATGCTTTCAAAACTCATTACTTCTGACAAAAATATGACAAATGTTCTCAATGACAGACGGCCCCTCTGAGCAGCACCCATGATTGATAGTGGTAAAATATCCCACAATTTCTAACGTAAAGGTGATGACGTTTGATTGCTGTGCTCTTTAATGTAGCATAAATCCACTCATATCAACAATCATTAAATCGGTTCTTTGAACATTAGCCATTTTGTTGTTAGGGTTAAATAAACTGCAGTGCTGTGAGTGCCTCAGGAGGGCAGTTTGCTGGGGTTTTCTTACCATGTAGAGGCTCTGGTTAATGTTGAGCTCTATGTCAAAGTATCGGCCCTGGTGTTCCACGGGTTCTGTTCTTCCAACCCACTGCTGCTCCTGCAGACAGGACCAGCGCACCGTCAGCTCTTGTATAATGAATTATAAATTTGATTTGCGTTCACACACTAAATGTCATGTTAGAAAAGCAGCTGTTTTATTCACAGTGACTGTCCCTCAAGTCAAACCTTGAGCTTTCAGCAGCAGTTTTTAATACAGTCTCTTTCCACTCCTATACACACACTCACTGTTTAATATCACATTTCATAAGCCTCATTCTGACTCTATATTCAATAGCTGAAGTGGAACCGCAGAGAGAAAAAATAGCATGGTTCTGTTCTGGAATTTAGTCCTGTCTGATAATTAGAGCCATTTCTGTCCCTCCATTCTACACAACTACCACTTTGATGCTTAAAAAGTTTATTAAGAGATCGTAACACGGTTTGCTTGGTCACTTCATATGATGAACAGCCTATATTTAAGCTTTTATTCACATATTTACATAACTGGTGTGTGTGTGCCTAAATTAAATCTGTTCATCATATAAAGCGATTGATTCATATGGTTTATGGATTAGTAGTCCATATGAATTCATATGGATTAGTATCAAAGTGGTTTTCATTTCATTTCACTGAATTTTCATTTTTGGGTGGACTATCCCTTTAAAAGTGAGTGTGAGTTTGTTTTCATAAAGCTTTTTGATGTATGCTTTGTGATACATAACAATATTGCAATAAAATATGCTCTTTCAAAAGTTTGGTGTTAGTAAGTTTTGTTTTTTTATTGATTGATTGAAGGATTTTTTTTATTGAAAGGACGCTATACATTGATCAAAACTGACAGACGTTTATAAGGTTAAAAAAAATGTATTTCAAATAAATGCTTGTGCTTTTGTCCTTTTTAACTTTCTATGTATTAAATAATCTTGAAAAAAATAAGTATCATGGTTTCTACAATAATTTTAAGCAGCACAACTGTTCGCACAACTGTTTTCAACATTGCTAATTATAAGAAGTGTTTCTTGAGCACCAATCAGTGTATAAGAATGATTTCTAAAGGATCATCTAACACTGAAGACCGGGGTAATGGCTGCTGAAAAAAATTTAGCTTTGCTATACTAAATATAAATTCTATTATATATAAGAAAACATTGTTTTAAATTAGAATAATATATCTTGGTGAGCTACAAAAAATACAGAACATCTTAATAAAATAACGGGGGGGGGGGAGAAATGCATTTTTTAAACCGGGAAAACAAATGTAAATATGCTTTCAAAACTCATTACTTCTGACAAAAATATGACAAATGTTCTCAATGACAGACGTCTGAGCAGCACCCATGATTGATAGTGGTAAAATATCCCACAATTTCTAACGTAAAGGTGATGACGTTTGATTGCTGTGCGCTTTAATGTAGCATAAATCCACTCATATCAACAATCATTAAATCGGTTCTTTGAACATTAGCCATTTTGTTGTTAGGGTTAAATAAACTGCAGTGCTGTGAGTGCCTCAGGAGGGCAGTTTGCTGGGGTTTTCTTACCATGTAGAGGCTCTGGTTAATGTTGAGCTCTATGTCAAAGTATCGGCCCTGGTGTTCCACGGGTTCTGTTCTTCCAACCCACTGCTGCTCCTGCAGACAGGACCAGCGCAGTGTGCGGCCGCCCAGTTGAGTCTGAAGAGACACGCTCAGTGAGTACAGACCTCTGGGCAGCTTTTCTCTCACGGCCCTCAAACACAAAACAAGCACCTCTATGGGCTCTGGGGTCCGAGTCCATTCCACCTACACAGGAGAATGAAATATTTCACTATGTGAAAAAGACCTGAAGAGAGTAAGAGAGAAAACTTTACAGAAAATAATATTAATTTCTACTTTGTCTTACAGCTTTGTGTTGAATATTTACAAAGAATTTGTCAACATTTGTTAACGTTACCAATATATGCACCCTGCAGAATTGAGATTATTTTTGGAATGAGATCATGACTCCCTGAAACAAATTCAAATAGAATCAAATAGAACTGGCTTTTCTTTATATTAAGAGGATACACAGAGACCATGATCAGAAAAGAATACTGGCTTATAGTTTATTAAAAACTGCCCAGTATACATTAAGTATGTGCAGTATACTGGCTACTATTTGAAAAAAGCTATTATAAAAATTATTATAAAATATTATAAAAAGGCTACTATTTGATGCATTGCTTCACAATAAAAAATAAGGTAATATGCTATATTGCACATGACCTCATCACGTTGCATGTGAGTGTCATCTGTTAGTTGAGTCATCTATTGATGAGTTATCGTCTGAAATGGAAGGTCAAGTACAAATATGGTATTATGGTATGCAGTGTGTTCTGATGTGTACTGCACATTGTGGAAAATGTACTCGGCCACTCATCAGAATATTTACAGTCTGTGCACAGTATACATTCTATATACATGCAACTGTGGCGTAAGTGGTGTAACGCCATAACACTCGCCTAGATTACATCAAAGCAGCTCGCCAGATCCTTTACACTTCTCATCCCTCGCTTTCTGGCACGCAGGCCGGCTTTCGTTGAAACCTCACTGACAGATCGACAAAAAACATTGCAAACAGGAAACACCCCCCCCCCCCCCCAAAAAAAAAAAACACACACACACACACACACTCATGAATAAACACACAAAAAATTATTTTCGTTCTAAGTATAGCCTAATATTCTGAGATTAAGCTTTCTCCTTAATTATTTTCATTTTAATTAGTAAATCTTAATTAACAATGAACATTTACCCTTAAAATTTTTGGCGTGAGAACGAAGGGTGGTGGGGGGGGCAGCTAGTGAATAAATATGACAATCTTTTTGAGTCCTGAAGGCAGGATTACCGATGCAGGCAGGCTTAGTTATTAAACACGTTCTAAATTAAATGCCTCCATGAATTTTGTACAGAAATATATTTTCATAGTTTTGCATGCCAAATGTGACATTTTATATTTGAGATTCATCTGCCACTGTAATTTTGGAAATGTCATATAAACAAAGATTTTGTCATTTACCAATGAATTTACTATGCGTGGCAGGTCGGCCATTGCTTTTCTGGCTGTGCGGGTTGTTTCAAGTCAGCAAGCCATAAAATATCTTTATCTCTCTGAAACACAGCAATTTGAGAGATAATGGAACAGTGACTGGGGGGCACGGATGCCAGGCTGAGGAATTATACTACAATCTCACTGCGTTTACTGCCTCCCTCAAAGCTGATGCTCTGTCTGCAAACCAAGGCTGCTGCCGCTACTGTTGAGGCCCTCTTACAGAGGTCATTACAATGCAAAACCTCGCAACAACATCTCACACGCAACTGAACAAGCTGCATTGGCTACTGCCATCTTCCTTTAGTTTTGGTCAAGTCAGAAACTTTAGGTGTGGCTTCCTCTTCTCATACCCTTTAATTCCTTGCTTATTCTCATGAAACGTGCAATTTGTGTGCCCCCATGACGGATTTCATTAACCTAATCACGATATTTGATTCAGCTCTATTTAGTCTAAAATGCAAAACAACATTTAAAACATTGATTTTATTTCTACCTTTTATTCTTTCTTTATAATATCAGCCAATCTGCATGTTCCTATTCATCATCATTACATTTTAATGGGTTCAAACAGAATCAAATTCTACCTAAATTTGAAATGAAAATACCAGGGCTTCACTAAAATGCAGAATTTGTACTTGCAGTTCAACCTTTTTATGTTGTGACATTTCTGCCTTTAAAATAATGGTTTGATCTTTCTTAAATCCTATTTACTTCAAGGGAGTGACATCAAAGTATTTTACGACCACATGGTTCAAACAAGGCAAGTGTCTCTTGCGGTTTGTATCATTAGTAATAGTGTACATCAGTAGGCCTATATATTTAATTTATAATCTTTATGCTATGTTATAGGAAAAAGTGATACATTTTGAAAGGAAAAATAACGTTCTTGATAAACTCAAGTACAGTGCAGTGCAATATTTGCTACAGTAGTTGTTACTAGTTGGCAATTGTTCCACAATTAGTATTGCCTTGAACCTTCATTTACGTAATCTATTAAAATTATATGAATTATGACAGTCCACATTTGGGGTTTTCTGATTTCTGACAAGGCACAGAGATGTTCATTGTAAGAAAGAGAGACAGAAAGACAGAGAGAGAGAGTGTACCTGCCAGTGGAGGTCAGATTCAATGCCCAGTGGCTCTGAGTTTTCGGTCTCTTCAATAATTTCACCATATTGGTTGACGACCTCAGCCTGGCGTTGACGCAGAGAATTCAGCAAGCGATTCTCAGCCCTGACGATATACATGGATACATATTTAATTATCTTAAATGAGGACATGCCATGCCATCTTTAAATAAATAAATAAATACATATCCTCTATTAGAAATAAGCATCTTTCTAATAGAGGATGTCAATAGAAGAGTAAGCATTTATATTTACATTTACATTTAGTCATTTAGCAGACGCTTTTATCCAAAGCGACTTACATTTAGCATAAATTTAACGAAAAAAAAAACTTTAAAATAATATCAGACATTAAGACCACACCAGATAAAATAATATTCTGCAATACTGCCACTGAAAGTTTCTATCTTGAACAAAGGCCACGTTCACACAGCAGCAGAATATGGTTGTCAGTCCTGTATTTGAGTCCTTAATACGGTTACGTTCACACACAGTTCGGTTATTTGTTATTTACGGGTGTGACAACCGCATTCTCTAACCGAACTCACACCTGTAAATTTTCAGGACTCACAACTGCATTCTCGGAACACACGCGCTGTGTGAACAGAACAGGACTGGACAACTAGTTGTCTGTCACGTCATACAGTGCGAGAGAAAGCTGCGCAAACGCGTGTTTACCGTGTGTTACATGTTTTCGGTAACTTACAGTGACAGAGAAATGAGCTGCGTGTCTGTCACCTGAAATTGTTAAGATCCCGTCAGTTTTCCACCGAAACTCTTTTCAGACTTCATAATTTGAATATAGTGGTTACGTTTATGTGGGTGCCTGCTCACAGGGGAGTTAAAGGCAATGAAACAGCAGATTCATTAGCAAAAGAAGCAATCAAGCAAGAAAATACAATAGACATTTTATTTAGCAAAGCAGAAATAAAGGCAATAATTAAAAGTAAAATCATCAGTAAATGGCAATATAAATGGAACAAGGGAAGTACAGGCAGACATCTTTATACCAGCCAGAAAGACGTGGGAAGGATGAGGATGACATGACAGGAAAATATAATATCAAGGTTAAGACTGGGTCACACAAGACTAAATAAGACATTACATCTCATTGGAAAACACCCCACAGGTCTGTGTGAGTACTGTCAGGAGGAGGAATCAGTAGAACATGTTCTATGTCACTGACAAAAATATATTATAGAAAGAGAAATATTCAGAAGGACACCACAGGAGATACTAGATGCAAAGCAAAAACTCGGTCAAACAGGAAATTATAATTCTTTAATTGTATTCTTGAGGGAAACTGGGCTAATACATAGAATATAAAGTATAATTGTTATTTTATTATTAATAATGTTTTTTTTGTGTGTTTTATAAAAATTATTATTATTATTTATTTTTTACATATATAAAGTTCTGTTAGTCACTCTGGTCCACACTCCAGTATAGGTGGCGGTGATGCACCTTAACGTTGGATGCAGCCCACCATAAAATAAGAAGAAGAAGAAGAAGAAGTTTTCCACCGGAGCCGCTCCCGACAGTTATTGTGTTCTGCGCGTGACTCATACTCCGCTCTCCACCCAAATTTAAAGGCTGCTGTCGGTTAATGGAGATTTGACGGATGATAAGTGATAAGAGTGATAAGATAAAAGTGATAAGATAAAAGTGATAAGACTTTCAGTTTTATGCACGTCGCCATCTTTGATTTCACTTTGGTCACTGTCGCTATGGTTACTGGTAAGGAATACGGGCTTGACGGTGTTCTAAACACAACTGTAATCTGCTGTGTGAATGGGACATTTCGAGACTCACACCTGTAAAGAAAATGCGGTTGTCAATCCCAAAAATCGACAGTGAACGTAGCCAAAGAAACTGTTTTGGAAATCTGCTAAAAAACAGACATGCCACAGTATTCTTTCAGTAAATGTGGGTGGTGTGGGCCTGATCCTATAGAGACGTCTCATCTGAGTAACAACCATCCAGTGTTGATATGAGAGAACATAGAGAGGGTCATCTAACAAACCTCTGCACCAGTGTCCAACTAACAGCTCTGATTTCATTAGATCAGTCTGTGTGGTGCTGCACAATTATTAAAAACTTAAACACAGCCGAGCCTGCAGGCCTGACACTCTGAAACAGAGAGCACAAGAGAGAAAGGGCTGCAGACTGAAGTGAACAGGATGAAATTGATGGTACTTTGCGTCCAATGACACGGACAGATTTCCTCGCCTTTGGCAACTTACCCAGAATGCACTGGTAGAGACAATACAATGTGGAGTATATTACATCTCCTCACAAATGTCAGCAAAATGTAAATGAGTTTGGAAACACAGATTAATGATTATTTCACATCAGATTGGATGTAGAGAAATTCACGCACCGCTGGAACACAGCATAGAGTCTGTCCTGCAGAACGGCTTCTTCTTCATCTATGTGCCTAATCTGCAGAAGCAAATAATAAATCAAATGGTATACATATACAGTAAATGTCATATATAACCAATATGAAGAGCTTAGTTTAGTTATTTATTTGTATTGCCATATCAGCATCTAAGGCTATCTTCGTGGCAACAACTGAGTTGCAATAATGCAAGGGGTACATAAACCCAAAATAAAAGCCAAGTAAAAGAGAAAAAACAAAGATTTTACCAGATTTATTTATTTATTTATTTTTTAATTAACATACAATAATCTTTTAGTCCCTGAGATACTTCACTAAAAATGTTTTCTCCAATATTATGAAGAAAACTAAATTTAAAATGATATCCATATTAAACCAGAACATGCTACACAATGACAATGTAGAGTAAAACCAAACATTTAACTTCCTAGCACTGCTTGCAAAGACATGCAAACATGATATGCTTTGCTGTTGTTACGACACTCATTGTGTGTCTTGCTTTCTGTCATCTGCACAAATTATTGAACATTTTCTGTTAGGAAATGAATACCTTTTAGTTTACTAAACACTACTATTTGAAAATAGTGCAAAACAGTACACATTACAAAACAGTAGTTATTTTGTCACAGGTTAACCTGGTGACTCTATAAACTTGGACTTACAAACATACACCCATATCACTGATACTGTGCATTGCCGGCATTATTAACATCTGTGTACACCTCAGGAAAGTTTTATGGAGTTTTTGTTTTGTTTAGTCTAAAGTTTGTTGCTGCTGTGTTTTGTTATAGTTTTCAACTCTTGATAGTTTCCTTAAAGTTTGCTATTATTTTTCTAAAAATAACAGAATGCCAGAACACATAATAATTCATATGATAATTACCTTTATTTTTCCACATATTTGCCACAAACCTTTTTTTGTAGTTAAACTTCCCGGTTCACACTCTGTTCAACCAAACCCATAATGCAGGTTAATCTGTTTTTTTTAAAGCGACAGCCACATCACTTCCTGTGGAAGATACCATTTTGGTGTGATGTCAGAGGGGGAGGGGATTTGGAAAAATTAGTTTTTGCTATTTAATTAGTAGTTAAACTCTTCCCCTGTTAATGGTTGTTGTTTTACCTATTTGGAAGGTTTTAGTGTTGTGTTGGGTGTTTATATTTTTTAATTTGATCATTACAACCTAAAACGTTTGTACATAGTTGGTAGGCTCTATAGGTGGGGCTTCAGCCTATAAATAGGCGTGATGGCTGAAAGGATTTCAGTTCTGATTGTGAACTCTAATACTGAGCAGGGTTGCAAACTTGGGCCATCTGGTTTAGCCAAAATTAGCACGTTGTTGCTGTTTTCTTTTCTTTTTTACAGTTTTTGTTTATTTTTGTTTTCTCCTGCACTGTAAATATTTTAGCACCTTCCAATAAAACACCATTTTTGGATTTTGCATCAACTTTTTGTACAGCACGTCATTTCCTTTTTCCACTCCAACTGGTTGGCCTCCCTACATATTTATTTAACAGTAGTTAAATATGAGTCAAAAAACAAATGTAGCCAATTTTAGTTATAATAAAATCATCACACTTTAAGTAGAAGGTCAACTCAAGTGCATTGCATTGTGGGATACAGTACTTCATGCAGTGTGCTTTGGTCATCTGGAAATAGTAATATTAGTATGATAGTAGGTTATTTCATAAAAACAATGCAAACACACCTAAGACTGAGTAAAATTTGAATGATTGCATAATCATTTGTGGTGAAGAATGGATACACACACATATATATATATATATATATATATATATATATATATATATATATATATATATATATATATAT